CTTGGAACATTTTATCAGATTCATATCTCACAGTGCGAATATAAGTAGCTGCAAAAAACATTTAGCATTAGGTAAAGCTACTTTATATTTTATCAGATCGCATATTTTTTATACAACATAACTATGTCCAACAATGTAGGACTAGAATTTTGTTCACACATTGGGAACATTTTCTTTACAGAAAACGTCGACGTTTAATCTGAATATGCATTGTTAACCTATCATTTTGGCTTCAAATTCAACGCACATTGAAATGGTCATTTTCTCTACGGTTTCCTTTCTTTTTCTTTCTGCTTTATCCCTTCAATCCCACCAATGTCCAAGATATTTAAGTGATCATTACACTTCATTGGAAACCATCCACTTACCTTCCATTCTAATATGCTATTAAACTGACTCAACTTGATTTATAAGACTTAGTCAATTATGGATTAAATTTAAAATGAGGAAGTTTAATTCGATTCACTCTAGTTATAAACTCAACGTATCCATTATATATTATTGAATTGACCCATCAAAGATGTTTAATTTTCAAATTGTATTTTATATAATTAATGTAGTGTAATTAAGATAGATCTACTCGATTCATTTATTTGTGTTAGTGTAATTACACTGTTTAACTATTTTAATAAATATTATTGTAAAATTATAGTTAAGTAAAGTGATATGTAATTAGATAAATATATAAATTAGACGTCAAAATTATTTTATTCTTACAAAAACATTATAATCTTTAATAAAATTAAATAAACATTATCAATTTCACTTAAAATCTTTTTCAAGAATAAATATATTTACTCTATTTTATCTGTAATTGACACTCTGCTTCTGAATCTCAACACATCTTATGACTCATCATAAACTCATTAGCTCGTTCTATGTCTATTTCTCAACTAACTTTTGTCGTCTAGAATCCCATAACTATTCCCATCCGATTCCATCTCAAACACTCTAACCCAACATGTACCAAACTGTCTCACTATATTTGTAGACTAGGATCTAACAATTGTTTCCTCCTCGATCACACTTAGAAAATCATTAGATATAGTTGGGCTACTACATCTAATGAAATAAACCTCAAACTCAATCCACAACTTCATAACACTGGACATCTCAACTAATTCCAACTCTCTGGTCATTCTTGCTTACCACTTCATCAGCTTGTATAGTAAATGCGCTTTTTCATCTATTTCAAGGCCTTTCTTTTCCCTTCCTCATTCGCCGTACTCTTAATTCCATAACCTTACCTTTTCTACAACAATAGCTTTCCGATGTACCTCTTCATTATGTGCTTGAAATATTTCACCTCACCTAAGGTCAAACCTTTCCTTATGTGCAAACCACTAATATTGAAACATCCCTCTAAACTTGACTTTGATGCATCCAATTTTTGAGAAAATTTAACCATCTCCTTTCAATCATTTTACTTAGCTTAAGATCCTTACAATACTTAATTCTTCTCCAAAGACCTCATGTTCCCTCAACTTGGAAATTATTCCTTTTACCCAACTCTCCCTCAATCCACTTTATTGCCTTATACAAACTGCTCCTCAAACTCTTCTTCGCCTTATACTTCTTTTCTAAAGATTGATTTCTCCTTGGTCTACTTTAGAATTTATATTCCCTTTTTAACTTTAACTTTAAACTTTCCACCATTTTTCTTCTTCAAATCTTCAAGCATCACTAATATGCAAAGCCATGTTGTCTTCTCAAAAATTGTTACACCAGTGCACATTGACACCTTATGTTTTATTCTAGACTCTGAATCCAACTTCTCTTGCAAAACTTGTGATATCTGATCCTCTAACTTGGTTCTTGAAACACCTTCCAACGAAAACAATGCTTCTAAACTCCAACATCTTTCCTCGTCCATTGCAAACTTAAAAACTCTTATCTTCTAACTCCTAAGTTCCAACACACCACACACCTCCTTATCTTTGAGGGGAAAAAATTGTCTCAAAAGCTTTAACCAAAGTTAATAAAGGTATACAGGTCAAATTTTCTTTGAATTTGCATCCCTCTATCATTATGTAGTATAAAACACTACCACAAAGACAAGAACAAGACAAGAATCACTATAGACAACAACACCGGAACCACAACCCTTTCTTTCCCCAAACCTTCAAAACTAAGAAAGGAAAAACATCTTTGATATTGAGTCATGAGTGTGCACCCTCATTACTCCTATCAAGACATTTTCTGTTCTCAAAACTTTCAGTTAGATACATCAACTCTACGATTGAAACTTAGAAATCCATGAAAAATCATGTCACCTAGACTCAACTCTTCATAGGAAAGGCACGACAAACCCACAACCCGCTGGTCATCCTAAGGACAAATTGCTCTGGTACCATTTTTTGGGGTTTCACATTTATGTAATATCCCATTTTAATAGTGTAAAACTACTAAAATAAATTGTACATACATGATAACTTACAAGGAACCTGATACTACTAGAGTAGAAGATTCTACCCTTGAAGACAAAAAACTATCTATCATGTCGCTTCTCTCTCAACCAACTGCTAAGTCAACTGAAAAGATGTCTCCTTCCTAAGCTCACACCGGTTAAGGTGATCATTGCAAAAGAGAAAACAACACATAGACTAACAAACACAAAAAGCAAGGGTAAGCTAGTGATACAAAATATTTCATAATATACTTAAATATTTTAAACACTCCACACATGATACATATAACACAATTTAACCAACCAAACACTTTACACATGACCATACTTTAACTGAACTGTCTGGACTTAGAATGAATGTCGAGTTATGGCAGGTTATGCACTTGTGGTGGCTTCTACTGCTTTGTAAAGCTATTGCCAATTAATTTCACCCTAATATACTCACAAGGTTAGTTTGTTCCACGACTTGGATCATATTGGAAGTACCTAAGACTAAGACCTCCTCATACTCTCACATCACCACATGTGTCAATCGTCTCTTTTTGAGAATGAATGACCATTAAAGTGTCAGGATAACCCCCAAGAATGAGATCCGTACATTCAGACTCATGATACTTGAAACCACACCACGAAGTTTCACCTTTGAACTAACTTTCATAACTTTGAACCCACTTGATAATTTATACACATTTCCTTTCACTTTTACATAGTATACCAATACATGAAACTATTGATCATACATTAAAGAACTAGAAGCACTCTTACAAGCTATCCAAAATCACACAATAACACAAATTTTCTTCATAGCAGCTTGATACCCACATTAGGCACGAAAAATGGCTTGGAAGCTGCAACAGGTTGAAAAACTCTCTTATTCTGACTTTGATGACTCTCTGTACAAGTTTAAATGGTTTCTATACAACCTCTTAGGCGCTGAGAAACATTTAAGAACAAACCTCTAACTCAAATGAACACTCCAAACCTCAACCAACTATTCTAGACTACCTAAACTCAATTATATCACTCCATACAACAAAATAGCAAACTAAAGGCCTAGACAAGTTCTAATTGACTCAATTATAAGCCCCAAACTTGTTCCAACACTTTACTTCAGAATTTCACCATTTTAACCTCTCATTTACACTAAAAATCACTCAAACACCAACCATGAACCATCCTCTTTAGTTCTAAAACAATTTCCACACTAACCATGCTTTTAACAGATTATAATTGGCCCCACAACAGACCTAAAAAAACCATATTTACCAAGCCAACCTCTATCTCACCAATTTGACTATTAAAACCCCATTTTTAGCTACTAAAACTATAACTTTGGTCACTCCTCAATTCAAAAACGTTACCATCAACTACAAACATCAATATCATTCCATGCATTGCAATTTATGACCACATTAACAACCAAATTGCATCCCATCATATTTCAATCATACAATCCAAAACATGTACATTATTTCATTGAATTAATATAGCATAACATTGAAATTAGTACTCTACCAAGTAATTAAACATACAACCACCAAACTTAAAACAATATTAATTTAGACTTAGATATTTAGTTTTCCTTACCTTAAAAGAATACTATCAAACTCTAAAGACGTCTCACTGATTGCTTAAAACGCAAGAAATTTCTAGAAACACATACAAGATAACTGAAAACACATGCGACAAATATCATTATGCATGATCTCAAACTAAGAACGAAAGGGAAAAAGGAGTCAAAACTTACTTGCTCTATTGAAGAAACTAATTGTGTAGAAACGTAGACCTCGTTGCCATGGTTGATTAGGTACTTCCTGATCTCAAAGAGATGACTTAGGAGTTAGAACTCTTAGATAAAAGGTACAGAACTCTAGAAAAGTGTTTTCTAGAGAGATGGTACGTGTTAAAATAATAAAACTCGTTTATAACAAAACTATTTATAAATAAACCATTTAATATTAAAATAATTGAATCTCACTATTTTTAAACTACTACCATTTCTAAAATGTCATTATCTGAAATTTAAAAAAAAAACATATTTAAAATAATTAAATTCAATGTGAAATAACCTAACACAATTTAGTTAAAAAAAATTAAATTCATATTTTCTAAAGTTAAAAAATTAAATTAGATCAAAATTTAAAAAATAATAATAATTTCAATTTTTAATTAAAGAATAAAAACACATTTAACTCTAACAAAGATTCAATATAACAGCAATATATCATTTTACTCTTACACATATATAATATAAGATACACATATAATATAAGAGATGAAATATTACAATTGCAATTCCCCATAAATAAAAAATACAATTAAGCTTAATACTTTTTTACCCTTATTTAAAAGATCCATTCTTTAATTCTTAGAGCATTATATATGAGAAATGTACCTTATCATATCTCAATTTTTTATATTCAATTGATATTAATTTTTTTATTTTTTAAAAATATAAAATTTATTATTTTATGACTATTTGATCTTTATAATATGTATTAAAATAAATATAGAAGTGTGTCAATTATTTTCGAAAACACAGATGTATAATGCAAGGGCGAACAGGGGAAAGTGAAATTACGCAGAAGAAGAATGTACAAAATCCGCGTATGACGTATCTAAATATAAATCAAACAATAAAAGATGAATATATGATTATAAGCTATGTGGTGGTTTTTCCACAAGATCACTAGGTTTGAAAGAGAATTCAGCTTCTTCACTAGAGTTGGTTTCTTCATCAGAATGTTCATGTTCATGTTCTTGTAGTTGTTGGTGATCAGCATGATCCATTCTCACAATGAAGCTGGCTGTTTGGGACAACTCAGGAGACAACTCAACATCGGACTCGTATTCATGATCTTGATCCTCGTACGACTGGGAGCGGGTGGAGTGGCCGGTGGTTTTGAAACGGTGAAGTGTAGGCCCTGAAGGGTGCACTGCTGAAGTTGAAGCAGCGGGGCTTCCATCAACAGATTCTGCATTGAACTTTCCTAGCTTCACCACCCTTTGCTTCTTTTTCACAGCCATGTGCCAGTTCCTTAGAGCCTTGTTTGTTTGCTCGTCAAAGATCGCTTTTTTCATCCTTGAACCCATCTGCGTGTGTATGTCCATGTGTGTTTACTGTCATCAACAGCATGTATATTATTTAATGAAACAAAAACGTGTAGGTATACCTGAGTTACAAGAGCATATAATGGGAGGGTGATGTAGCTGCAGAGGAATAGCATCACAATCCTGAATAAAACCCATCAGAATTAATCAAATTAACTATGATTCTGCCCGATATTTTCAAAAGCAAAGAGAATTTCAGAAGAAAAGGTTTACCCTAAAGCTACTTTCATTATTGCAAGCTTGTAATCATTACGGAAACAGTTTCTCACCCCGAATGAATACTGCAAGTAAAGAAAGTGTTCTTTGATTATTCAAGAAAATAGACAACAAAAACACATAAGCCAATAGTCAATATAGTGTCGTCAGCTTCGTTACCCATATCCACAAGATATATGTTACTTGGAACGCATTCTGCAAGTGTAAGAAAATCAGTTAGCGGTTAACTTTTCTAGAACATGAAATAAAGCTCCTTCAAATATACATTTGAATTTGAATTTGCAAATTCAAACAACTGGAAAATGTCATTGCTCCTATGCTGCTTCATAGTTTATCAGAAAAGAATATGATTTTCCTGAACTTGATAAGGTTGCATTCAACTACAAGTGAAGGCTTATTTGAGAGCCTCTATGTGAAAATATGGTTTTTTTCTTTTGTTTCAGTAAAATGGTTTTCAAACATTCTTCTAGTTTCTAATACTAACAGGAAATCCATCGAATACCTGGAACAAAGCAAAATGGATAAGGTGAAGGACTAACTGTGGCTGACCAAACCAAAAGTATTTGTCTGAGACTTGGACAAGAGGTATTCCTTGGACAACTGCATGTCTGTCGGTGATTTCAATCGCCATCTTTGCCAATATGGCTTGAAGTTTTGTTCCAACTGCCAAAATTATCTGCAACCAATCAAATGACTTGTAACTGTAGATCCCTGCCAGCCAAGTTCAGAATTTAATACACAGAGAACAGAATGCTCACAACAACAGGAATTGCGGCTGCCCAAAGTGTAGTACGCCATCCTGGAAATTATTTTATTGAACTTAGTTGAATTTTCAGTTAAAAAATCAACAAATTCCATAGAACACTGTTAGAAATATTATATCTTTTATTTTTATTTTTTATCTTTATCTTTTATCTTTCAGTTAGTTTATTATTATTTCTTATTTGTATTTTGGGCTTAACCCATATTTCTTCTATTATAAATAGAAAACTCTATGTGTGTTTAACACAAGGGAGATTAATCCCATATATAATTTTCACTATATTTAACATGGTATCAGAAGGTTTTTTTATCTCTTCCGGTGGTCTTTGCTGTCTGCCGGCGGCCGGCCGTCATGGCCGCCGGCAGCCCCTAAAAATTTCATAAGATTCATTTTCTCTTCTTCTTAAATCTCAGCACCCAGAATCAAAGAGACAAGTCTCCTGGGAACCACTGCCTCCTCTGAACCCGTCGCCGCTCTCTGCTGCCACCGACCATACGCCTTCTCACTGGCCACCGTCACAGTTTCGACCGGTGACCAGTGGATCTAGACCATCTCTTCAAGCGCGACCTAACCCTGGCGGTCGCCGTCTTTGTCTCGTTTGCATGCGCTGTCACGCGCCTCCACTCTCCGGAAGTAGATCTCGAACGCGTGTTCATCACGCGCCGCCTTCTCGGCGTCGGTATCAAACCGCGCCGCTGCCAGTCGTCTCACCGAACCTCCCTCTCTCTGTTCAGACCTTCCAGAGCAGCCATTGCTGCCATCGACGTCTGTCTTCTTCTCGCCGCATGCTTCCGCATCTTCGGACCTCCTTCTTCTTTCTGCGTTTTTTTGTGCTTCGTCTCCGTCGTTGATGCACCAGGGTCTAGTGCTATCTTTTCCGCTTTCGCCTTTGTGTTGCTGTTCTTGCCTTGTTCTTCCTTTCTTATTGTATCTGCCGCACAGATCTACTACGTTTATTGCCTCCTTCTCCGCTGCTCTCCTTCATCCACTTCTGAAGTTGAAGTGTTTATTGCCTCCTTCTCCGCTACTCTCCGCTGCTCTCCTTCATCCACTTTTGAAGTTGAAGTGTTTATTGCCTCCTTCTCCATTGCTCTCCTTCATCTACTTTTGAAGTTAAAGTTTCACAAGCTGCTGTTTGTTCATTGACATGTGATAACCCATCTCTGTTTGCCTCACACTCTTGAAGACAAATCATCTAGTTCAAAACCAAGTTCAATTATTTTAAGCTTGGTTCATACAATTTGTATGCTCCAGCTTGAGGGGGAGTGTTAGAAATATTATATCTTTTATCTTTATCTTTTATCTTTCCTTTAGTTTGTTATTATTTCTTATTTGTATTTTGGGCTTAGTCCATATTTCTTCTATTATAAATAGAGAACCCTATGTCACACAAGGGAGATTAATCCCATATATAATTTTCACTATATTTAACAAACACCAAACACAAACAAGTTACTCACCATTAACATTGACGAGAAGGTAAACTACAACTGACGCCCAGAGAACAGGACTGTCAACAACATAGTTAGCTCACATGTCAAATCTACAAGAAAAAATAACCTTAAATAATAATAATATAAGGCTGCATGTAAATTTTACCGTTGTTAGTGTTACCTGACTCCCACTACCACCTTGAAGTCATCTTCAAATGATCTTTTGATATACTTTTGGAAATTAAATTTACTTCCAGGAGCCAGGTGCACCTATGTATATTTATATATAATTCATCGTCAATATAGAAGAAAAGGTAAATCCACAACGAAAAGAACATCCTCTTCTACAAGAAGTGTTGACTCACAGTGATAAACCCGTTCCGCAAAGTCTGGTAATCAGTCTTAGTTACAGACCTATAGAACTGTCTAAAGAAGCATCTCTGAAATTGGAAAATGAAAGATGGGTTACATCATACAAGGTATACATCATTTGACATGCAAAATTGGCGACCAATTTGATTTTCTAATTTGTCTGTTTCTTTAATAAATATTACATGCCTATGATGGTGCCTAATGTTGTTAGAAAAATTAGACTAGAGATTAGTAAGATTGACCCTACAATATAGAAGAAAATGGGAATCCTTGTCCATAAATCTGCATGAGCTCTCACGAATGATGTTTCATGAGTAAGCCTAAATCTTGAAGCAGCTGCACACATAAACAGGAAATGCTCAAATATATGCATGAGGTTTTTTCATAATGGTATTTCCAAGATTAAACTTGCAAGTAAAATCGAAGGTAAACATACACAGTGTTGTAACCATACCATTCGCGAACTCAAAATTATTAGTTGAAGTCTCTGCCTCCCATGCTTTCCATCCACGTATCTGCAGAAAGAAAACTCTGATGTTTGGAACTTTTACAGAACTATAACGGCATTTAGTTTCATCGAAAATTCAAAATTAAATCAATTTCAGCCATAAATATATAAATCTTATAGACTAAAATTTCGAAAGCAAGAACAAAAGGCAAAAGGTTGAGTAAATCCGACTTAATATCCTTGCACAGGAATGGAAGAAACATGAATTAGTCTAAAAGATATAAAGTAACAAACAGACCTTCAGTCTTCCAAGAAGCATTGTGATAGCACTGTAAAGCACATGAAAGACTGCTAAGAAGAATATGAGGATGTGTAACTGGTGCAAACCATTCACGGATAATAGTGGCTCATGTCCCTGTAACCATCAACAATTATACAAACAGCTATTTTAGGGAACAAAGAATAAGGGAACATACTTATACCTCATTGCTGCATTTAAACGAGGTAGTATCAGCAGCTAAATATCTACGTTCATAAGACAAAAGTTTTCTACGATGTTTCTCTCCATCGTCTGATGCCTTTTCAGCATCCTTATATTTATATGGACATGGTAACATCTTGTCTGCCAGCTTTTCAGGAACACATATTTTGACAATGTAACTCTGCCCGAAAGTCAAAAGCAGTGAAATGAAACCCAAAATCATCAACTCTGCAGGAAAAAAAAAAAGAATGAATAAAATATACTAAAATATGACAAGTGAAATTATTGTTTCACATAAATAAAGCTTGAAAATAAGCCTTTGACTTTAATCATTACCAGCCTTGACCTTCTCCAGAGCTTCGAGCAAAGCCTTCTTTTGCTTTTTTCCAAGCCACTGAACAAATTTTCAGAAGATGAGAGACAGAATACCACAACTAGAGAATTCCAAAGCACACCCATCATAATCATTGATCACAACAAGGAAAGTGGGAAAAGAGACAAATAGAAAAATTCACTCCTATTAAAACAAAAAACAGAACCCTAACGAACAAAAACATCTACTTAAAATTGTGTAACAACAAACTTGCATGAATTATTATAACAATAAATTGAATAAGAAAACTCTTAATTTTGAGTAGATCAATTATCTGTACGGAAGAAGAAAAAATTTCAACTCAGATTCTTGTTTTGAAAATTTCTCACAGATAAAAATCAAGGGAGCCACAAAAACGTGATAAGGCACATAATGTCACAGCTAACTACTAATCATTGATCTAAGAAATAAATAAAAAATAAAGAAAAAAAAACATTGATATAAGAAATTAAGTTGAAGGAGACAAATTGAAAGCAAGAGGTACAGTATTTTTATTTCTGAAACGGATTGAAGAGACGAAGAAAAGACAGTTGAATTCAATAGCAAACGGACAGCGAGAGAATTAATGAAAGCCATAACTAAAAAAAGAGAGATTCAGAGTTTCATTCATTAATTAATTGCGTACCGTCCCAACTTTGTGGAGACTTTTTTCGAGTGCTATGGAAATCAAAATGAAAACAGTGCAAACGACAGCAACGGCCCACGTTGGTGTCTGGTCGAGCTCTCTGGAACTGCTGCCACTTTCACTCGCTGCCATGGCCGAACCTCCAAACCATAATAACCACAAAGGCAGCACCCCCACCACACAAGAAAACAGCTTTCTAAACTCTGAACAATTCATGGAAAATATTAGAACTAGGGGAAAAGTGGGTTGCGAAAAAAAAGAATTTTTTTTAATGTTTCACGTGGGAATTAGGTGTCGGTGTTCCTAAGGGAAAGGATGTAAAGAAAGAGGCTTTATGCAGGGATTATAAGTGTCTGTTAAAAGGATGAAAGGAACACGAGAGGCGCGTAAAAGGGTAGCGGAGATCGGAGAAGAAGCATGTGCCGTTAGTAGTAGCGGGCTCCTCCGCCAGCTTCAGATAATACAAATTATGTCTCTCTCTCTTCTTTCTTAGAGACATCACCTTAAATAACAGATATAAACACAAGTTGGTCTTTTCTAATATTTAAAATTAAATTAAATCGTAAAAAAAATTAAATTAAATTCGGTGCTCTTGCTAAAACAAATTCTGCTCTGATTTATTATTTTATATGTAATTTTTTTTTTTGAAAAATAAGTAAATTTCTTGGTTTAAACTTGAAAGAACATAACTAAGTTGACAAGAACAATTTAATTTATCAATAAAATAAAACAGTCAAATGAACTTTATTCTTATTTTTATGAAAAATGATATACATACAAATTATGTATATTTATTTGATATTATTTTTTTATTTTTTCTTCTAAAAATACAAAAAAATTATCTTTTATAATTATTTTTTTTATAATATGTATTAAATAAATGTAAATATATATCATCTATCATTATTCTACTTTATTAAAAAAAGTTCAAGCGATTGATTAAGTATAAACAAAAGTTCTTGGAACAATTCCATGTTTATTATAAGTTCCAAAAGTTGACTGAATTAATCATCTTTGTCTCCTGAAATTGATATAATTTTTAGTGTCTTTCTTTTTACACGTTCTGTATATGCACGGGGTTTTGATGTGAGAATTAAATAATATGATCAAGTGGGGTTATGCTAGTATGATGTTATTATAGATAAAAAAATACGTTACACCATTTTTTTACATAAAATTTTCCTCTTTGAAAATGTATGCAACCATTTTTTTATGATCAATGTTTTCATATAGTGTTTTAATAGTGATTAAAAACAAGAAAGTCATAAAATAGTTTATGCCGAGGGTACGTGTTCAATAGTATTTTGCAAAACGACACACCAAAGGGCCAAAAACGCTGAATCGTTATCTTGATTTCATGTTTCACAGTTTGCATCATAATAATGGAGCCAACTTTGATCATGACAGTTATTACAGGCAACAGAAATAATGATTTTGACACAAAAAAAAGTTTTACACGACTCTTGATTTCATTGTTTTATTTTAGTAATAAAAAGTATGTTTGTGATTAAATGTAAAAGAATTAACTAAAGAATAATAATAATGATCGTGATATGAGTATAAAAAATTATAGAAGTATATAATGACAATTTTGATTATAAATTTTTACAAATGAATAATATATTTAAATTAGGAATAAATTTAAGGTTTAATTTTTAATTGATTGTAAGATAATATTAGTATTTTTTTATATTATCACATTTATGTGAAATGATATGAAACTCATTTTAAGTTTTTTTTTGTATTTATTTTATTGTAGTTCATAAAATATTTTAAGTGTTTGTGTTGTCATTTATTTTCTTTTCTCCTTGTCTGTTAAGAAATATGTTTTCATTTTGTCGTAACAAATAATAACTTATTTTCTCTATATTCTAAAAAACCAAAAGGAAAAAGATAAGCCAAAGAGAAAAATTAAAGTAAAAAAATGTCAATTGATGTGAAATAGAAAAAAAGAAAAACTTAGTTAATATATCTTTTTGCACAAGTTAATTTATTTTCATGTTTAAAAAAGAAGAAAAGATGACATTAGTCCTACTCTAATGTATCCATGACATTCTTTCTTTGAGGATTTTTAATGTAAGATGTTATTATATGTTATATGTAAATATATTTGAGTTGAATAACCTTTATACCTTTGTCGTTAAAAAATTAAATTTAATTTAATTTCAGGTAAATGTTTAACTTTTTATTTCTATTTGAAAATAAAGAAAAACGGAAAATGTGAAAAGAAAACTTTCGACTATTTATAATTATTGAAAAACATAAGAGAAAGAAGTCTAATTTGTGGTAAGCTGGTAAAACTATTCTGTTAAATCTGCAAAGATTCAACTCAGTTATTTTAATGATGATCATAAATGTTTTTTAAAATTGGACCCACTATATTCAAATTAGTTTGTAGTCTCTTTCTTCAACTCATGTGCTATATAATAGAATTAAATTAAAAATATATAATATATTCAAAATTACAGTCTTAGTGCTGATAAAAAAACCAGTATTAATTGTATAACATTTAAAAAACGTGCCATTACAAATAAAATTTCATTAAATATAGAAAGTATATCTTGAAGTCACAACTTTTCAAATGACTTTTATATTTATATTTGTTACACTTGATCCAATGAATTGCTACTGCAACATTATTTGAATTGTTTTGTTTAACTAAACATGGTAAATGATCTGCTGTAAATTAATATTATATAACATTCATAATTAATATTGTTTGGGATGCAAACTTCACCAAATGAGATCTGTAACTGTGCCGTTACATGGTGGAGAAGAATTCATCACATTATTAATTTTTCTTAATATTTAATAAAAACTATTTTAACACATTTTTTTCTATTCACTACAAAATAAAAATTGTAAAACGACACGAGATTCGTTGAATGGTATATGATATCTATAAAAAATATATTTTAAACAGATTTCAATTAAAAAATTGTTTCTAAAGATATAGTGGAGTGTATTTTTTTTTCATTTCCTATTCTTTAATAATCTAATAATTCTGGGTAAAGCCAAGAAAACGTGAGTTTCACGACGATCGAAAATGGTGAGAACTAACTCAGAACCATCAATTAAATATAGGATAACAAATTGAGATTCGACTAAGCAATCCATGCATTAAAATATTCTATAAAATATGTTAAAATGTGATTACACTTAGGTCTTTTGATAAATAATGTATGCTAAATACCTTTGGCCCACGCAGACAGATCAATATATTAATGGATTGATCACTCTCTTCGATATTTTTGTTGATTATATTTGTCAATCACATTGGTAGATCATTATGATAAATAAAATTTTCGATCTTTTTGGTTAATATTTTGATTGATCGGTAAATCAACTAATGGTAATCACGGTAAGATACATAAAAAATATTTACTTTAACAGTAATAATTTTATTATTAATATTAATAAATTTCTTTGTAAATGGAAAATATAATAAGTTTATAAAATGTGGAAAGTTAAATAAGAAATTTTGGTAGCTTAATTGGTAAAAAATTTTGGTGATAGGTTTAAACTCTTTTTTACCTTTTTGTTTAAAAAAATTAATTAAAAAAACGAAAAATTAAAATAAAATTTAAAATATTGATAATGAAGAAAGCATTTAGATTTGAAGACATTATTGAGCAATCCATTATGTAAGTGGTGATTAAGATATTAAAATAATAAATAATATTAAAAAATTAATGAATAGTAAAATTTTTGGACTATAAATAGCCATGAGAGGGGAGGCTATTTTGCACAAAGAGAGAAAGAATCAAGTGAGAAACCTTGAGAAATAGAGAAGAAAGAGTTAGGCAGAAATTTTTAGTTGCAAGAAGAGTAGAGGCTCTGGAAGGTTTTTCGGGGAAACAAATCCGGAGCAAGAGAAGTCTGGAATAGAGGTAGGGGAGCTAACCTTTCTAAGCTTTTATATTATAATTTAGTATTGTTGTATTACTATTCACGTCTTAAAATTCTGTGTGAATACGGTTAATGCTTACTGTATATCTATCTATATTGAATTTCGGTGTTAATATTATATGTTGTTGTTTTGAATCTGTAAATAAGAAATTTGTTAAAAACTAGTTAAGAAACACTTTGGCTAAGGAAAGACTTGGTACTTAAGTTGTCCATAGTGACACACCTCTCTTTCCTAGAAGTCTACTCGATATGTTTTTAACTTAAATCTTGTTGTACAGATTGAGTACTGTTAAATTATTATGCAATATATCTCGTTGGAATGAAAATGTCTGATAAATTCATGTTATTGTGGTAGATAAGAAATTATGAATTATAATTGTGATGGTAGGATAGAGGAATCTTAAAAAACGGAGTTGGTACATCCCTGATCATAGAGCAGCCCTGGTCCAATCCAGTAAGTTGTGACTAGTCATATGTACTGACGTTTATGGTGAGTTTGATTCGTCAAACATTTGATTCTTCTCCGGTGACCATTTATGGTGATATTTTAGTATTGTTAATTTATTTTGTGATATATTCAGTTTGTATGATTTCTGTGATGATTGTAATTTATTATACTGGATTTGAATTTATGCATCTGAACATGATATGAGTATTATGGGGAGATTTCGTAATAGTATAATATGAGTTGAGGAATGTGAGCATGGTATGAGTCTCGCGGAGAGATTCTGTAATGCCATGGTATGTGTGTATATGTTGATGTTGAGGGTCCCGTAGTTAGAGGTTATCCTGATACTCTAATAGTCATCCAGTCTCAAGTTGAGAAGGATGAATTATGTGGTGAGAGAGGCAGTAGGTCCTGGTCTATGTGCCGGTTTTGGACATAGTGTTGAGGACTAAGAAGGCATTACAAGAGCGTAACCTCCCGTTGACCGCTCATCAACATATCATCGGGATAAGTGTCTATTGGGTATTGTGGAATGGGTGTCCATTGAGTATTGTGGAACGAGTGTCTATTGAGTATTGTGGAACGGGTGTCTATTAAGTATTGTAGGATGAGTGTCGATTAGTAATTGTGGTATTGTTGGATGAGTATCTATTATGCGATTGTGGTATGATGGTATGAGTGTGTCTCACATAATTATTATATGAGGTTTGTTGAGTGCATCAAAGTAAATATGCATGTTTTATAAATGATTGGTTGCATGTTAGCTCACCCTACTTGTTTGTGTTTGTGTTTGGGTATGTGCGATGATCGTATAATTCGTTATACGGGAGCAGATGAAGGAATGTCGTTTGACTCACTGCCAATGAAGAGAAAGATAGAAGAATAAAGTAGAAGAACTCAAGTTATAATTTTGTAGTTGAAATTTGAGTTTAAAACATGTATAGACGTATATCAACTATGAATTTTTAAGTGTGAGATTACGGGATGCTACCGTAAATGTAATGTTACAATATATAAATTATGAATTATCAAGTGTGAGAATTTGGGATGTTACAATCACAAATACCTAACTATTGATTAAGGTAAAACTTATAATAATTACTAT